TTGTTTGGTTTATTTCTAGAAATTTAACCATTTCTTTCAGGTTATCCATTTGTTGATGTATGATTGTTTATAATAGTCTCTTATTATCCTTTGTATTTCCGTGGCTATTGGTTATAATGTTTCCTCTTTCATTTTTGAGTCTTTTCTCTTTCCTTAATTTGTGTAGCTAAAAGTATGTCATTTTTTGGTTATCTTTAAAAAAAAAAAGATAAGACCTCTTAGTTTTATTGATCTTTACTATCATTTTTCTAGTCTCTATTTCATTTATTTCTGCTTTGATTTTATTATTTGCTTCCTTCTGCTAATTTTATAACTGTACCGTCATGTTCAAAGGAAATAAAAATCTGGCTCTTGGTTATCCTGGTTGTGATTTGAAAGGATAGACCTTTTTCCTAACGTTCTGGGCTTCTGATCTCTCTTCATTTCAGGAAGTGCTAATCCTGAACTTCTCAATCCATCACATAGAGCAGTCTCTTAGCTTTCATAGATAATCTTGCACAAAACTCAAGAGTGAATTGGAGAGAGAGTGTTCAAGTACAAGAGACCCCTGACTGCATAGTTATAGAGAAATATTTTTAAAACTCATTTATTTTTAGATGATGTCATGTGGATGAAGTAGATCATGCGACTCCTACTCTCCCTTCCTCTCTGTAAAAAATCAATAAAATATATTTAAAAAAAAAAAAAAAACTCAGACATTTATTTTTAGATGATGTTATGTGGATGAAGTAGATCATGCGACTCCCACAAACAAGGCACTTGGGATGGTGGTGGTGTTAGATTTGGCTCTGACGGCGGCCAGAGAGGCTGAGCTTCAGTGCAGACGCTGCCCCTGGTAGGCTGTCCTGAGGCAGAGGTCACCCACCAGCCAGCCACTGCGGGCCAGTGTTCAGCGATTGGTCAGCTCTGTGTCAAAGCTGTTTGCCATTAAAAGTTTCCTGGACTGCACCAAGTGAGAACTTTGGTCACTGAGATAAGAGTAGCCAAGAGTAAATTCCATAGCCCATCATTTCCTTCCTTCCTCCACAGAAAACCAACGGGAGTGGATCCAAGCATGCAGGAACTGGAGGCATTAATAGACCGAATCCAGAAGCAAGTGAAAGACCATCCCTGCAGAGATAACATTCGAGAGGCATTCCAAGTTTATGACAAGGAGGCGACAGGATTCGTGGACAAAGAGGTGTTCTTTAAAATCTGTAGCACTCTCAGCGTCCCAGTTGACGATTCCTTGACTAAGGAGGTCAGTATGAGTTCTTTTCCCAGGTAATTGCAAGGCCGCGCACCGTTCATTCTCTCTTAAAGACAATTAAGTATGTATTTCGTTTTAACTGGGGAAGATCTAGGGTGTTCAAGTCAGGTCTCCTGTTCAGTCCTGATTATGGTTTTCCCTTGATTCATTGGCTTTCTGTTCTCATTCCTGTTGCAAGGCATCTGTAAGTGGTGTGGGCTAGGCAGCACAGAGAGGCTAATAAGACATGTTGGGGTTGAAGGAGGGCAGCAGAGGTGGTCCTGGAGGGGCGGTCACCCAGGGCAACTCACAGACACCGGGCTGAGCGGGTTGGTGGGCAGCCAGTAACATCCTTCACAGTGATAAGTACGTTAGCCCATCTGGAGGACTAGCCTGGAAGAAGGCGTGACCGCTGCCCAGGGACAATGGCGTCTGTCAGTAAGGGCCCCACGGCGACATGGACATTCTCCTCTTAGAAATTTTCATGAGTTGAAGAGAGCATTTCATGCCCTTTCCCCTTATCGACCCCTTTAGCCAGATCCCTAGAAGTCAGACAAAATTTTTCCCACCTTGCCAATGACTGTGACTTACTGTCATTGAGACATTCTCATTGATTAAGAAGACTGAGATGCTATAGACCTTAAAGATCTTTTAGCAAAAAGGAATGTTCAGAGGTAAGATTCATTTGGGGAGGGCTTTTGCTTAGGGCTAAAGTGACTAGGTTGGAGACGAGGATATTTTGTAAGCAGGGACATTAGCTAGGAGTGGGGGAGACAGAAAGAAAGGTATTTGTTCACATGGGCCAAAGCCCATTTAGCTTCCCAAAGCTCAGATTGACAGCATCCCCAGATTTTAAGTCACGGGTATTATGTGTGAGCCGACATGAGAGAGAGGCATTGCAGTCCGTGGGAGTGGGACAGGGAAGGTGGGTGGGGTGGATTTGCACGTGTCTTATGAGGGCAACCACAGCAAGTCAGTCTACTACCACTCACAACTGAGTTTCAGGGGACATGGTTTGGGCAGTGACATAACCAGATTTTTCTATTAGACTGCAATAACACCAACTCGCTATTTTGAGTCTTACTCTGCACAGACTGGGTGGACAAAGTCTTGTCTTTGAATATAAAAACAATAAAAATTGCTTTTTTTTTTATAATTGAAAGTGATAGTGCCCTTAAAAATGCAAATATTGGTTCTGAAATCTTGGCCAGGCCATTCACTCCACCTGAGGTTTGATTTTACTAACTGTGAGAGGGGGTAATATCCGACCACGCACTGGGTCACAGGAGCACTTCAGAACCAGCTGAGGGTGTACAAACTGCACTGGTTGCAAAGGTGGGGTCAGTGTTGATAGGGCCCTGCAGTGACGCAGCAGGCAGCCCTCACGTCTGTCCCGCCTGCTCTCTGTCTCCCCTGCAGTTAATCAGGATGTGCTCTCACGGAGAAGACAAGATCAACTACTACAACTTTGTCCGGGCTTTCTCAAACTGACCTGGCTGAGAAGAGGGTGCACTAGTGTTTTGAGGTTGGACCTACACTTTGAAATATACCTTGTACTCTTTGTAGAGGCTTGAAAGTATATCAAGCCTTTGAAAGTATATTCCTTTCTCTTTTTTTTATATTTTACTACTTCTGAAGTCTAAGTTAGATTGCATCTTGTAAGAAGATTGGTGCCTTATTGAGGGAGGTAGAGATGGGGGTGTTGTGATGGTTAACTTTATGTGTCGAGCTGATTGGGCCTTGGGGAACCTAGATATTTGGTCAAACGTTATTCCTGGGTGTCTGTGAGGGTGTTTCTAGGTGGGATGAATATTTGAGTTGGTGGACTGAGTAAAGCAGGCTGGCCTCCCAGTGTGGGTGGGCCTCTTCCAACTCATTAAAGGTCTAAATAGAAAAGGCTGACCTTCCCCAAGTGAGAGTGAATTCCCCCTGCATGCCTTCAAACTGCAGCATCAGCGTTCTCCTGCCTTCTGACTCAAACATTAGCTCTTCCTGGGTCTCAAGCCTGCTGGCCTTCAGACTGGAACTACACCGTCGGCTTTTACGGTCTCCTTGTTGACTGACTAGTCAAACTCTGTAATCACATGCACCATTCCCTATAATAAAGCTCATTCTTTCTATATAGATTCCATTGTTTCTGTTTCTCTAGAGAACCTTGACTAATACAGGTGTACAATGAGTAAGAGCAGAAGAAAAGATAGAATTGGCTAGGACAGCGGTTCTCAACCTGTGGGTCGCGACCCCTTTGGTGGTCGAATGACCCTTTCACAGGGGTCGCCTAAGACTATCCTGCATATCAGATATTTACATTACGATTCATAACAGTAGCAACATTACAGTTAGGAAGTAGCAATGAAAATAATTTTATGGTTGGGTCACAACATGAGGAACTGTATTTAAAGGGCCAGAAGGTTGAGAACCACTGGGCTAGGAGAAGCATCATTTGGGGTTTTGGAAATAAGCACAAAGCACTGGTATTGCTGCTCAGCCAATGCCTGCTCCCCACCTGCCTGCTTGCCCCAGGATTACAGGGAAATACGCCACATGTTTTTGTGAGATGGTGGGTGGCTTACAGATTTAGGGCTAGTAAAATCTGCCTTTGTATGAATATTGGCTTGTGAGTTACCACTGCTCAGGTACTTTATACCACCAGGGGGCCTTGAAAATACCATCTAATTAAGGGTGTACACGAATGTGTCAAATTCATCTATAGGTTTGGAGGGGATCTGGGACTAGCTGGTAAAAAAGATGTTTCTAAACGTTTCAAGAATCGAGGGTCACTTGGATGAGTGACTCCTGAATATCCTGCTGGCACTTTATTTGTACCACTGAATACTTTATTTGTACCATGAACTTGGCATTCACTGTCCCTTAATCTTACCACTCCCACTCCCTGCAAAAACAAGCAAGCAAACCAACCAACCCCAAAACTGTAAGAGCACAGGGGAGCAAACAGTTCAGAACGGTTACTGCCTTTCCACTCTACTGCTCTGCCTCCCCCTCCTCCCCTTCCGGAAAGCCTTCACCGCTCCACTGTCAGATCCTCGGTCTCAGACCCTGTACCCTTCCTCTACCTGGTTCAGAGACACCAGAAGCTGGAGGTCACCTAGCTTCTCACGGCAGAGCAGGACTGCAACCTGAGTCTGCACCAGAGCTCGCCCTCCACCAGCACCTCTCCTGCGCCTCAGGCAAAGGTTCCCTGTTTAATCCTCATTCCCTGTGGTGTCCTTGGCTAATGGCCACCTGTAACTGCACTCCTGTCCTGAGCTCTCTCTGAAGATGGTCTGGAAAACACAGAGACAGCTGCAGGCAGTAGACCATCTGCCCGACACCAGCCGTCCCACTGCCCACATGATCACGAACACTTGGACATGTGTTCACTACCAGCACAAATACTGGGTGGCTTTTACTTAACCCCGTCTTCTCCAGCCCAATGACGTCATAATGCAGCAGACATCAAGCTCGGTGTGCTTTCCTCTGTGAAGCTTCCTACCCACAAACCCACGTCGAGACCACGCCTTTCCACTTTTGTACCTTACTGTTATAGACACGAATAAAAATGATGCCCGTTATTCAATATAACTCTTCTTCCTCTTCCAATTCCCCAATTCATGCGACACAACAAACATATCACAAAAGATATACAAGAAATGGCTAATAAGAGTGAAAACTGTAAGAAATTAGACTAAAATTGACACACTCATTTTTTCAAGTAAAAGCAAAGGTAAGCATCCTGATCAAAAAGGAATATAAGGAATTGTACCAGAGACAATTAGACTGATAATTCTATGCCTTTTTATTCAGTTATTTCAAAAATATCTGCTGATCATTTTTTTCAAAATGTACATTTAAAAAATCCATACAAAACTGTAATTGTTTTCAAACCAGACAGAAACAGTGGAAAAAGGGTTTTGAAAAAAGTTCACTGAAAGTAAAAAGCCCCCCCCCCAAAAAAAAACAACAAAAAAAACTAGAACCTTTTACATGAGCATAAATACGGCAGGCACAAAATTTCCTTGAGTTCCTTGCTGAAATTTGGTCCATAACATGAACAGGCTAAAGTAGAAAAACAAAGACACTTTGTCCACATTTGCATTATGAGTTGCCCAGGGCACCAGCAGCCTCAGCTTATCCTTCAGATGTTGATTAAACAAGAGGAACTGAAAAATGAGGTTTAGTCTCATCCATAAACACTTGAATCTGTACCCAAGGAAGTGGTGGCACTTCCAAGCACAGGTGGCGCCTGCCAGGTGAACAGGGCTGTCCAGCCGTGGCTGACTCAGAAAATCTCCACGTGAGCAAGAAACTCGAAGCTTCCAGGCAGAGTGATGGCGATACCTCGGTGTCCCAGATCTTATTCTCAGACACTGACTTATTAATGCCCCTTCATGAGGATAGTTATTTTCCTTTTCAACAGATTATACAAAAATTATATGGACTTCTAAGATGATGCTACAATGTTCTACTAGGGTGCCACAGAAACCCACCCAGGATCACGGGAATGACAGCAACAAAGGGAAAGTGGCTAACAGTTCTTCTGTAGGGGATGACGACTGCCCCTCCCGTGGGTCCCTTCCCTTTCCAATCGCAGGGCGTTGTAAGGGACAGCAAGGCCTGTGGACCGACCACTGGCTGGGAGGGTTATTGCACAACCCGGAAGAGCAAGGGAAAGGCAGGCAGGCTTGGGGGGGTGGGAGAGGGTAGCTGCTAACACAAGGTAACACTGAATTAGGAGCTGGAAGAAGTTCTGCAACAGCCGACCTAGACCCATTGTCCAACGGGGATGTGAGTTAATAATCGTGACTGCAAAGTAAACACCTTTGTCATATACACTTTGGGTTGAATGGGAAGCAAAAAAGATCAGAAGAGGTTTTAGCAAGGGTACCTTTCTTTATAATCTGCGGGGTGGCGGGAGACAGACTGGAAGAGCCGGTCTCACCATGTTGGGGCCAAAGACATACATGGGCTTAGTGCCCTGGCCCTCTGAGCTTCCCTTAATAGGTATGAACAGGTGGGAGGCACAGGTGCCTGCAATGGGCCTTCCCTGGCTTCCCAACCACCCAGGCCTGAAAACCAACTCCAGCGAGAAACCAAAAACAAAACGGAATAGACCCCAGACCTTAACACAATGGGTGGGGGGGGGGGGGGGGGAGAAAAAGGGGGTGAGACAAAGGAGGCAAAACTCTCACAATCAGTATCCCTTTTACATGTGACTGCCCCGGGGCCAGTTCCTGGGCTGCTCCTGACAAACAGCCCGAGCCCTGGCTCGGGGGCGGGGACCACACGGAAAATAAGGCACGTCTTACAGAAACGAATCTGCTGAGGACGAAACTCAGATGCGCTGCCCAACAGGCGACCTGGAGCCAGTGGGCCAGCACTTTTCTGAGGCCTCCATAGAAAGGTTGTGGGGCGTGGGGACACGAGGCAGCAAGCAGGTCCTCTTCAGCCTCTGGGGAGGAAACGGGGGTAAAGAGTGAGAAGTTGGTAAAGCCTTCCTCACGGGCCAGCACAGGTGGGAGAGGGATTCTATTTAGGCTCCAAGCCATCCGACAATGACCCACATCTACAGTCGTGCCCAGAGTGCCTCCTGACAGACGGGGCTGTGAGCTGGGAGGGCAGGAGCGGGAAGGACCACACAGTTGTCTGACTCTCAACACCCTCTCCAAGAAACAGCAGAGGCCTGTGAAGAACGGGAGTGGACGTCCGATCACAGCCGAGGTCTTAGGCAGGGAGGGAGTCACACCCTGGCCTTCCTGCCCTCTCACCAGGCCTGGGAAACCACCTGGGCAGGCTGAAGCCTGCGAAAGAAATCCAAACCAGTCCCCAGCCTCCAGCCAGACACCTCAAATTACAAAGGCCTCTTGGGAGGGGATGCTCTGCCCCTACCTTATTCACCACTTAGCCAAAGGTCGAGGGGACTGAGGAAGTCCCTCAGGAAGGCCCAGCAGCACACGCCCTGGGACAGCACCCCGGGCTTCAGGGCGCCCAGGTCCGAGGGGCTGCATGTGCAGAGGCTGGAGCACAGATGACTGTTTTGGTTTCTGTGAAATGTTGGTAAATTCTGACTTCAGACAAATGGAAAAGGTTCTCTGGGCAACCACTTCGCTCTGGTGGCCCAGACACTCAGGGTTAGAGCAGACTAGAGGGAGCAGCAGCCACCCCCCACTCCCGCTCAGCCTGCCTCTGCCCCAGGCCTGCCCCACCTGCAGCAGGGACACGTGCAGCTCCCAGCCTGGGTGGTAAGAGCTCTCCCATCACGGAGCTCCAAGGAGGGGGGCGCAGCACGATCCTCCATCCCACCAGCGCGGCCTCCCTGCTCTCTCCTGCCCCCAGCTGCCTGGGGGCCACCTCCACCTCATGGGGCCACTCAGAGAGGTGGAGGGGCCGCGGCTGCTGAGGTAGACTGGCCTGTGCCCTCCTGCCCTGGCGGGTGGTGCGGAGCTGGCCTCCCCAACGTGGGGGTGTCTGACAGGACCCCAGAGGGTGTGGTACGCTGGGAACAGAAGAGAGTGTTTAAGACGGAAAGAAGAGCCAAAATGACCAGAATAACACGAGCCAGCCCAGCGAGCTCACAGGATGAGGTGGGACTGAGGTGTTTAGCCCCTGGCAACATGGTTTGGGCCAACTGCCAAAGACCTGGCTCTGCTCTGAAAGAAATGTGCCAGGGACCAGTGGGGTGACAAAGCTCCCCACAGTGGCCCTCTTACCCCCTCAAATCGCTAGTGATGCCCAGCTGGTGAGATGCTAGCCTTGTCTCGGGTTTTTATGGCAGAGAAGGTCTGACTCTCATCACTGCGCCTTAGGAAATGGAGCTGGAGCTGCCGGGTAACAGGGGTGGTGGACTCACCTCGGAGGCACTGCACACAGCATGGAGCCTGCAGGGCACTTGGGGAATACGCACTTACGCTGAGAACACCTCCACGCAGCCGGGAGGCTGCTGTGGGCGGGACGTGCCTGCTCTCAGCACCACCCCAGCCCAAGCACACGTGCATCTGCTGAAGGCCCGACTCCACAGCTCAACGGGGCTCAGCTGCAGTGCAGCCTCGAGCAGGAACGCACGGCCGGGGCCCTCCTAAGGGCGCCCGGCTGCTGGGGCAGGCGCAGGAGGCTGCTGGCTGAACACCCGGCCATCAGCAGCCACCAGGCCTTTACCAGGTTCTGCTTTGCAGCCCAGAGATGGTCAGAGAATGACGGGAGAGACGCCTGTTTTCAAAAACACTGTCTACTTCCTAAGAGTAACCAGAAGCCACGGGAGCTGCTCCTTCCCAGCCATCTGACAGAGATGAGGGCCCACAGGTGTTAGGAAACAGATCCCTCATTCTCTGGGAAATTAAAATTGATCTCTGATGCAAGTGATGCACAGAAGGGTTGTGGCCTCGATGAGAAGACCCATCTCTCCCTTTTGGATGATGACCCAAGGTTTGGCTTCTACTGTGATGCCAGAGAGAGAACCAGTCCATCAAATGACACTGACATTCCTGCGCCATCAAGACCCGCTCCTGTCCCCGCAGAGCTCAGGAGTTCTTAGGCTGGCCCTCTGGGAGCCTCAGCCTTCTGTGGGCGCCCCACAGGCCCATCAGGACACGGGGGCCTTGCCTGGGGGGAGAGGGACAGACTACGCGAGGGACAGGACAGAAAGCTCGGCACAGCTGAGCAGCCTGTCCTGGTGCACACCACCGAAAGCGCTGCAGGTGTGCTCAACAAGCATCCGCAGACGGCAATGCCAATGCCGAAGAACACTCAACCAGAGAGGCCGGGGGAGAATGGCACAGGTGACCCTCCCGGGGCCCAGGGCCAGGGGGGGCTTGGTGTGTCTGCGGGTAGAGAGAGGACGTCAGGGCTGCCCGGGTCTGGGGTTTAGACCAGCACAGGCCTGCTGGTCTCAAGGCTTTCAGATTTGGTTTTGAATGCTGGTGAACAGTTGAAAAAGCAGTGCAGCCAGGGCTGCTGAAGAAAGGCTGGGGTCAACCCCGCCGTCACTTTCCGGAACAGCTTGCTTGCTGCTCACTCAGCCCACGTGCTCTGGCTCTGGAGTGGGAAGCCTTGTCCTGCAGCAGTGCTTCCCCGGCCGAGCGAGGCAGGCCGGTTTCCATCGCAGGACCCGCCACGGGCAAGCTGTCTCGGTCAGGGGACCCGACACAGTTCACACCATCCTCCTGGACCCAGCGGTCAGGTCCCTAAGCCAAACGCCTCGGCATTTACCAGGAGCAGCGGCACGGCGGGGCCTGGAGACAATGCCCAGAGCTGCAGTCACACCTCGTCAGTCAATCAGCACCCAGGAGACTGCGATCCGAGAGGCCGTCTCCCTCTTCCTGCCCGTCCACACGGGACCACTGGGGCTGCTGCGGCCCGGGCGGAGGCTCCTCGCACGAGGCGTCTGTACGTTGACAGGCCTCGGACCGACGCTGGGGTTGGACGGCCAGGACTAGGACCTTCGCTCCCTCTCATGGTAAAAATCAAGACACAGAAAAATTGCACAAGACGGTCAAAGGAGGAAAAAGAGAAAGCAGCAGCGGTGTAGGAGGAAGGCGGCCAGCAGAAAGCTAGCGAGAACCTGGGTGTCCAGAACACCCAACAGAGCGCAGAGCTGTGGCCAGGGCGTGGCCCGGGGAGAGGGAGAGGGAGATTTTTGGTTTTATTGAGAATGGTTTATGGAAGAGTAAGAGAAAGCCAAGAAGAAAGGAGGAGGAACAGCTCCGTTTAAAGACAGGTTCCTGCTGTTTGATGGAGCGTCAGGAGCAGGAAGGGGAGGCAGTGATGGAGGCTGGGCCCCCAAAGAGCATTCCTGTGCTCAGCACTTTGGCCTTAAGGAGACTTGAGTTTCTTAGTCCGTGGGGAGGTCCCATTCTCGGCCTTCACCACTCCGTTTTCGTGGTAACCTAGGAAGTAAAGAGAGACAGACGGACATGGTGTTTCTGCTGGGACTGGCGGAGAGGAGGGCGGGCCCAGGCAGCCCGGCCCAGCTGCTGCCCCACGATGAGCTGTGAGGACCCAGCAGATGCCCCAGGCTCCTGCTCTCCCCTGGGTCTTGCGACTGGAGGCTCCGTTTGAGGTGGTGGGTCTCTGACACAGTCACCCAGGACCAGGGAGCCTGCGCCTGGCCCGAGGCTGGGCCAGGTCCTTGCTGGAATCACTGCAAGACCCCAGGGTCCTGTTTCTTTCTGGCCCCTGCAGGGCAGCTGCCCCCGTCAGCAACTCCGGGGAAGGTGAGCACAGAGGGGAGGAGGCAGAGGGGCTGTAGGGACAAGGCCTTACTCAGGTGCCTGACACTCCTCTGGCAGAAAAATTAGGGCAGAAGAGGAAGATCTTTTTATTGTTGTCAAAAGCATGCCCGTGTGCTTGCTCCAAGTCCAAGAGGCACATCTGGCTGCCGCCTCCAGCCCATCCCACCCAGCCAGGCCTGGCTCCCGGCACGCCCAGCGCACACGTGTCCGTTCTAACACACGAGCCCTTGCCAAGCAGACCACACCTGGAGAAGGCGAGTGAGTCAGAACACATCCTGGTGCAGACGGGCCTCAGGCTGTTGGAAAGTGCAGAGCTGGCCGTGCCCCAGGCCCAGAGGGGGTGGGCGGGGACTGAAGGGGCAGGGCCCCCGGAGAAGTGGGTGTCCCTCCCCTGCCCACCTTGTACTGTGCCATCTCGAGTCATTCCCGAAGGCAGAGAGGAGCCAGCAGCCTGGGCGGCCACGACCAGAGCAGAGGGCAGGTGAGGACAGAGGAGCTGGCCGCACAGAGCAGGCGCAGAGATTGGCCGGCGCCCAGAAGCCACCCTGAGGACATGCTTCCTGCCAGAGTTCCCCACCCAGCACGCCCTGCCCCACCACTGCCAGAGGGCTCGCGCCGAGTCAGGGCCAGCCCCACCCACAGCCTGTCCCTGGCCCACACCCAGCCACGTGCCTGC